TCAATTAAATTCAGACATGTTAAGCAATGTCAGAGAAGAATTTCAAAATAGATTGTACTATTGTATGGAAGAGAATGGCAGTCATTTTGAACAGTTATTGTAAAATCTTTTGGTATAAAATGTTCACTCTAAATGTTTGCAATAAAATTGTTAAAAAGATACTTTTTCTTCAATCCACTTTTCTTGCTTTTATCGTAATCATACGGGCGGTGAGCTTTCCCAGCAAGTTTAAATATGACATAATGTCTCCCCCTTCAAATATTAATTGAGGTATTTTTAAACTTTTCCTAAAAATTAGAATTTCAAAAGTTATTTAAGGTGGACAGTTTTATCTGAAAAGCACTGTATATTGTACATTAACATTCATAAATATTGCCGGATTTAAAATCCGAGTAATAAAAATTATAATTTTTAAACTCTAAATTGTAATAACCTCAATACATTTGTAACACTAAAAACAACACGTCAGAAAAGATTCGAGTATGTAGTTACTCTACGATTTAAAATTTAAATGTATCTTAAGAATCATGAATTATTATAAATAGTCAACCGAGATGCAGTTAGTCAAAGTAATCTCATATGATTGGTATATAATACAAATATCAAATGATCTATGTATTTTAAGCAAAATTGAATACAAATATCTGGAGAAAAAATAATTTTTTTACATAAATTATTCCTCGGCCTTTTAATTTTATTGTAATATTTGTTATTGTTATACACATTTTTATTTTCCTAATTTTAAGTTAGGATTTTTGTAGAAATAGTCAAATATATAGTATTTGTTTACCTCGTACTTTTTTGTTTCATTTAATTCATCATTTCCTTTATAAAATCCTTTCGTACCGTTAAAACTCGTCCTGTTTATCTGACTGTACTACCTGTTTTAGCATCTTTACAAAGTCATATAAAGAATAAACGACTGTCGGATTTCAATATGAAGTTCAATAACGATTTTATACCTTGTGCCTTTTTGTGTACTGAAAATGTCACAAAAAAAATGAAATTTAGAATTGAACTGGGGTGCGTTTTTTTAAAATCTATTTTTCCTTATTACAAAAAAAATGTTTGGTTTCACGATTTTATCCCTTATGCCATTGTATGAACCGATAGAGGAATATTGATTCTATTTAAAAATGTTTGCATAAGAGTTACTGGTGCTCTAAAGGTATTAATTAATCCTAAACAGTTAATAGGTCAGTGTCTACGATTTTGTGCTTCGTGCCATTTGGAAGTTTGTTAGTTTTCACGATAAGGAAACTGCAAAAAAACCGCAAGTCCGAAAAAAGAAAAATTATAGGTACCTAGTTGCAAAAATGTTTCAGCATCGGTCATTAATCGCTTATGCCATTAAAACTATACGATGCTTTGTTCGACAATAAGTCGGGTATAACAGTTTTAAATGTCGCCTACATAATTGGTAAATAGCAATGTGGTTTCAGACCAAAGAGGTCAACTATAGACCAAACACATGTTAAACGGTAGACATGAAAAATGTGCTGAATATAACATACCAATTTACAACTTATATATTGATTTCAAACAGGTGTTTGATAGAGTAGATAGACAAAAAATGGACAACTTTTTGCAGAAATGAACCAATCCACAAAAATGAGATTTTCTATTATGCCATTCTTATTGTAGTAGGTGACATATACTTTACTTAAAAAAAGATCCAACCCAGCAGGTAGTTCCTATCGCCATATTAACGAGCGAACCAAATCAACATATCAGTTTACTCGTAAAGTTGCCTGCAGCGGTGTGGTTTCTTTCTGCAAAAGGACACAGGTGGTAAGATTAAATTTCGGCAAAAAAGAAATTTCGATAAAAAGGGTTAATTCAGCACTCTTGAAACTAAGATCAAACAGTTTAACAGATAAAAGGGGACAAGCACAAGGGGAAAATAAAATAGATGAAGGTAGACAAGTAGTTATCGACCAAATAAACAATATACCAAAATACAAGTCATTACTGCAGATCCCATTGTTCTGAAGCTGAATTATTAGTACCTCCAGAAATGACTTTGTCTTTGATGTACAGGCATTATAAAGAACCAAATGAAAATCCAGTTAGTTTTCAAACATACAGGCGCATATTTTTAACCAAATTAAACATGCGACACCTACTACGGTAGAAACCAGATGAAGAATGATAATTAACTTCTTCTTCTTCTTTAAGTTCCATCTTCTATCGAAGGTTGGAAATCATCATGGCTATGCGGACTCTGTTGACTGCCGTTCTAAAAAGTTCTGCACTACTGCATTCAAACCATTCCCTTAAGTTCTTAAGCCAGGATATTCTTCGTCTTCCCACATTTCGCTTTCCTCGGATTTTGCCCTGCATAATAAGTTGTAATAATGCGTATTTTTGCCCTCTCATCACATGTCCCAAGTACTCAAGTTTTCGTCTTTTAATAGTTAATATTATTTCCGCCTCATTTCCTATCCTTCTAGTTACTTCCATGTTTGACATTCTTTGAATCCATGATATTCGTAGGATTCTTCTGTAACACCAAAATTCAAAGGCGGCCAGCTTATTCAGATGAACTTGTTTTAGTGTCCAAGCTTCCAGACCATAAAGAAGAGTAGAGAACACGTAACATCGAAGCATTCTCAGGCGTAGTTCTAACCTGTTATCACGACAACAAAGAAACTTTTTAATACGTGTCCTAATTTCTTTGGTTTGGTCTACATCTGATGTTATCCATGTTCCTAAATATTTATAGTTATTAACATTCTCAATTGCAGTATCTTCAATAGTCAATTGGATATTTGCATGTGCAGATTTAGTCATGATCATGCATTTAGTTTTCTTTAAATTTATCTTCAGTCCGTACTCATGACAGCGTTCATTAAGGCGTTGTATTAGGTTCTGTAATTAACTGGCTAAAGATAATGAAACAATAGAGTGTCTAACATTTGATTTAGAAAAAACACTACTAATACCACAGTTAGCAACGAGGATTATGTTTTATAAGAGACAAATTTTTAGTTGTATAATTTAGGCATTCACTCTGGTTCCACCAACAATGTCATTTTTACGTCTGGACGGAAAACGAGGCTGGACACAAGGCAAGAAATTGGTTAATGTTTAATAAAGCATATTAAAGAATAGCATATCTGACAATATAAGTAAATTAATATTATAGTCGGATTCTTGTGGCGGTCAAAACCGCAACAATAAACTGACGATAATTCTTAAAGCTGTGTTGCAGTCAAATTCTTAAAAAGAATTCACATGTGTTTCCTTATATCAGGCCACAGTTTCCTATCAAAGGATCCTGATTTTTCAGACGTGGAATGTGCCCTAAAACATGAACGACTTTACCTGCCATATGATTATCTAAAAATTAGGGAAACATCTGACATAAAACAAATTTAAAGTTCCGCGAATGCTATCTACTGAATGTTTTGGAACTGCTAAGTTGGAAAAATAAATAATAGAAACGTAGATGTGGAAAATAAGAAAATTAGCTGGTTGCAGACCCGTGAGATGTCTTGATAAAGAAAAATCATATTCCATTTTTTTGTGAACAAACTTTGAGAGTAACAATATTTAGCTGGAAATAGATATTAGAAAAAAAAAAACACTGGGCCGACCAGCAAGATTTAATATGTGGCTCAATGGAAAACAAATATCAAACCCAAAACTAGTAGACATAAAATTCGTGATGCATTTGATTCTGAATGATTGCAAACATTTTTATTCAAATATTACCGGCACATATATTGACGGCTTCAGTGGTGCGCAAGATTTTGAAATGGAATAGTCAGAAATTTAATTATTGTTAATGTTTTGTTCTCTGTAGGTAATAAAGTATCTTTAAACAGAATCTGATAAATTTTTTTTGCATAAAAGAACCAACCCACATAATACTACCAATTTTCATATTAGTAAATATTTTTTTAATTTGTTAACAATTATGTTGAAACCTATGTATCTTCTAAGTTTAAACTATTTTTGATCTGAACTGAATTTTTTATTACCATCAGAACTTTAACATCAATTTACTTAATGCAATTTTTGGTTGGTTGGTTCCTTTCTACAAAAAGCAATCCAAATATCCATGTTAGGCATACCGAAAAAGTTAGTTAAAGTTAAACTAACTTATACAAATGACTGCAAGATTCCAAAGCCACTGAGAAAAGATGGAGATATAAGGTACATTTGATATTGAAAAGTGATGCCTTATCAACACTTTTTAATCTAACTTTGGAAACTATTATCAGAAAAAATACAAGATCCACTCAAATATGCATATCTGATGATGTTGCCATAATAAGCCACAATAGAAGAATATTAACTGAAAAACTATATATTTAAAATACAAAGCCACTGCATTTGGTCTAAAGATAAATAAAATACATGGAGTGCACAAAGTCAAGTTGACATGAAAATCTCAAGGTAGACAACCATACCTATGAATATGCCTCCACCTTTCCTTACCTATATTCAATAAATGTCAGCAACATCAGTCATGAAATACAAGCAGACTCTTAGCAGTAAAAGTGCTTATATTTCTACAAAGATTTAATGAGAAGCAAGTTACACCAGTGGTCACATGTGGCCCCTTTTAACCACTGACTGAAATCAATTGAGAATATTTGAATTCAAAATATTAAGATATTTGGACCGAACCATTGTAGCAATAGTTTGTGGAGAATAAAAATAAACTATGAGCTGGATGAATTAATGCAGAGCACAGATAAGGTAGATCTATAGACGATTTAGAGGAAGATCTTAAAACCATAAACATTAGGAAGTGGCAAATGAAAGTATTCAATAGAGCAGAAGGGAAGAACACTGTTGAGCTGCACAAGACCCACAAATAATTGTAGCGCCATTAGAGTTCTTCCTCCAATTTGGTATATTACCACATAGTTATCAAATATATTTCTCACATGTACTTCCAGATGTTATGAACACAAAATATATTCAGCCTTTTTAGTACCTGACAAAACAATTTGGGTTGAAATTAGGTTAAAAAATGATTCGACACCTCTTTTTATAAATTTGTTTATTACATTAAAAAATACACCTATTCTTTTTTAGGGGCAACCTTCTGTTTCTTGGCTGGTAAAGGTTTTTGGGACTTCAGAACTGCACTAGCTCTGCGAAGGGCAGCCTGAAATAAAAAAAGATATATATAAAAAAATATTAAGAAAAAAATTTGTCAACAACTATTCAATTTTAAATTTTTATTTGAAAAACAAAGTAAAGACTTCTTAAATTATTAATAGATTTTCTTAAATATGCAACACAAAATATTTGATCAGATGAACATATAGTTGTGCTTCAAATGATAAACAGCCATGAAAAGGAAAATAGGCTAGGAAAACTTCTTAAGGTGGTATGGCACAATGTTAAAATAAGTACAGTTATCGTCACTATTTCAAAACAAATCTTCAACTTATGATTATGTACGTAAACTGTAAACTTTATATTTTAATGATATCTAGTTAGCATTTCCAAAGAAAGCAGTATTTTTTTCATAACTGTACTTAAATGAATCCATGTCATAACTTACGTGGCAACGAGCCTAAAAATTGGTATTGTGAAATAATTTTTGAACTTAGGTCCAAAATAACTATGTTAAATGATTAACTATCCAAAAATCTTTATTTTAAGCAAGTGGTCGTTATCCATACTGCCGTAATTTTTAAATTAACTGTACCTAAAGATAAAATCACAAGTAAAAGCTGCAAACTAGGGAGTTTGTTGATGTTACCGTAATAAGTTGGCATTTTGATAGTGAGAAATTAGTTCAGCTATCACTTGATAGATGAGAAAATAAGTTCATGTGTCATTTAGTAGATGGCAGCAGTGATGTATTAAATAGCGATAGATGCACGTTTGCTGAATTTAAGAAAAATCTGCAAAACATTGAAAACTAGTTTTGTGGTTAAATATACCAATTGTCCATGAGTTATGCAGTAACCATGGTAACGAATCACATGATTTTATTAGCAAAGCGGCCACTCCCCTATTTTGGCATCGTTTGATTTTCTTTGTTCAATCAGGGTCAATCATGATTGTATAACGGAAGAATGTCTTAAATATACAAGTATACCATTTTTGTCCTTGGCACCCTGATGTTATATAATTGTGGTTGAAAGTCAAACTATGGTCAGTAGTTTACTGTGGGATTATACTGGTTTTTACATAATACATAAACGTAAAAACAATTGCAGTTTTATTAAATTTTTAACAAATTTAATTTTTATAGACAAAACAATATTATGTAATAATCAATTAAATTTTGTCGATTAATTATTTATGAAAGAGAAAAAGATTATTAATATTTACTTGAGTCATAATTAGAAATGAGATGAAAATCTGAAATTTTCTGAGGAAAACACTTTCCCTGTTGACATTCGCTATGAAAAAATTGTTATTCTAGTGACGCTGTTTCTCAACTGATAAACATATTTTACATTTCTTATAAAAACTGTTTTTATACATAAATAGTCCAATTACCATAATCCCTTTTTTAACCATTTTACCTGTTTTTCAAACAATTGCAAATTTCTTCAGTTTAGAATAAATATTTTTGGACAGGTAAATGATTCAGAATTATCGCCTGAAATGTGAGTAATAAATTCCAGAAGTAGTAAAAATGTCAAGTAACTATATTTAAAAAAAAATCCTAATCAGCACATCCAGTGGAGTGCTGGTGGAGACATTAGTCTAAGGTAATTAAAATTTATGAGGTTTACGTCTGGGAATGTAGTATCATCTTTCAATAATAATATTAGAATTGCATAGTATGCATAGACACAGTTAGTCCGATTTGTATCTACCGCCAAAGGAAACACACTTGTGTAATTTAATACAAAAGTAAGTTTTTTATACTTAAAATTTAATTTTGTAATATTTTGAACCCAGAAAATGAAGAACGTATTATTTCTGCGAAAACGCAGAACGGTAGTTCGTAGTGCATTTACGAAAATTGCTATTGTTTTGGACAGTTTGTTAGCTGAACTCTGAACCGGTAGACACGCGACCCTGGCAGAAAATTAGCGTACAGTGGGAACCCGGGAACTCTTACAAGTAAAGAATACAATGAGTTTTGTGAAGTAAAGAGGGCGGTACTTAAAAGTGTATTTGAAGAAGCTTCTGAAGAAGAGTTAATCAGTGAGATGGAGGCAAAGGATACAGTGTAAATTAAAATATTATATGGAATGATCCAATCCAAAAATTAGAATTTGTGAAACTTCAAATAATAGCTAATTTCAACTTACATTGAAGAAGACTGCCAACCGAGAGTGAACTATACTGATTCTACTGATCATATATTATATTTTACGTTCCAGTACTTGGCCTCATTGGCAACAATCAACAATGTCCCTGTTCAGATAATTAAATTTCGAGAAAATCAAAATATTAAAATATGATGCATGTGCTGCCATCTATTCAAAAAATTGTTAACATTAGTTTATTTAAATACCACTCATTTTAACTGCGGCGTGAACATACTACCTTAAACACTAACAATTCTTGTTAATGTTTTAACATGTCATTCACTTACATGTATTTTTGACCCACTATGCCTATTGTCAATTAAATCAAGTCTAGCTTTATTCTAAATTATATAACAAGAGTTCTGCCTAGATGAATTGGCATAACATTAATACAAATTATAAATCCCCAAGCCAGTGTATTCTTGTCTGCTTATTTTGCAACATTTAGAAAACACAGATTTAGACTGAATCCTCAATTCAATTTCTGATTTATATTTCATCTAGCTTTGTCATCTTACTTATTTTTTATATAGCAATATGGACTATATTATTAACTTACACACTTGTGAAGTCAGTCCTTCGTCCAGTCAGTGAAGCCAATAAGCTTCATTTTTAATGTATATTATAAATAAATATCTACAATATCTTTATATTTTTTGCAAATTCAACATGTTTGCATTTTCCTTATATATCAAAACTCATAATTAGTTAATAGTTTTCAGTGCATCATTAAATCTAGGGTACATAATTAGCAATGTACCAATATATGTATACAATACTCCTGTCACATCTTACATAAGTTTTTACAGAAATTTTTTGATGAAAAATACCATGATGAAAACAAAATAACATTATCTATAATGTACAGTTTGTGATGGTAGAAAAAATATGTAGCAGTCTCTTATAAATAAGAACAAAAATCTAACATGATGAAAAATATAATTTCTGATTAGTTGCTGTATATTTTCAACTACAATAAGTACAATTAGACTTTATTTAATTACCTTGGTAAGGTCTGTTCTGTATTTGTTAGCATTCAACAACCTCTTCAATTTATGTAAAGATCTTCTGGGGCCAGATTTCATTGTCCTCTTTACAACATTTTGTTTAGGTTTGTGCTGAAAAAAAAACAAATTTGTGTTAACTTTTCAAAAATATTCCTTTGGAAAGACTTACTACTTCCAAATGTTTCACATTACATTCATTGGAGGTACCGTAAAACTTTTAAGAAATATGAATGACTGGATTTATGGCTAATATGGATTAGTATGATTCTGAAGCTATTTTCTTGTGGCATTTTAATGTTATTGACTATCTTTAATATGAATTACATCACAATTTATGCTCAAAAAGTTAATTTTGACATTTCAACTTCCAGTTCAATTTCCAAAGTAGAAATTCAAATATCAAGATAAATGCGGTTTCATTTATCTTGATAAATATAGAGAAAGGCAAAAGTATAGAGAAAGTGCCGATGAATTTGGCATAAACGTCATGTCAAATGTGTGTTTGCGGTATTGCCATGTCCTTATTATGTGTATGTTTTATGCCTCAAATATGTTTTGAAACAGTACATTTTTATTATATTTTATGAAATCGGGTATTTTAAAAAAAAATTTAAATTTATATGAAACACAAACGAATGAATATTTGTTTCTTTTGATATTAGTTGCAGTTAGTTATTAGAAGAAAAAAAATATAATCAGCCTTTGATAGATTAGTAAATAAACTTGGCAATACTGCCAAAAGTAGTTGCCAGATTGCAACAGATGTTTAGCAGATTTCAATTTTATGAATATTTTCTTATAATTTTGGGATGAAATGGTATCTGAATAAAAGCTTAAAAAATTAAAGTTAATTTAAATTATAATAAATTAAATTTAAATTAATTAAACTTCTTTTAGAAACTTGAAAAGAATCTTTAGTAACATTAATTAATATATCGCATGGTCTTTCGTGATTTATTTGTGATATGGCAATACTGTCAAATACAAATCTGTCAGTCATTTGAGGCTAACTTCATCGGCAATTTCTCTATACTTCTGCCGTTTCAACTAAAATTGTGTAAGAATGTGGGAAATTGATAAAACAATTATACTTATAGGAAAACTCATTCCTACTTATCAAATGAAATGTCATTATACTGTATTTACAAATGTCACTGCAGTCAATTCAAGATTCTAATTTTGATAGTTTCAATTTGTTTAGAAGCTTTTCGTAAATGATACTTAAGACTAAATGATAGAATGATACTAGTGTATTATATATATGGAAGGGTCAAGATCAACTAAATGAAGAAAATTGTGTAGACTAACAAGGTTTAAGAAACCACTTATATTGTCTGGAAACTTCCAATACCTATACATTTTAAGTCTTTTTTGCAGACTTTTGGAAACTTGAAATACTAAATCAATAAATTAATTTATAACAATAAACAACTTACTTGTTTACTGGCCTTCTTGTAAACAACTGTGAATCCTTTTTTGTCAGCAGCATCTACAATTCCTACAGACTTTTTGTGGATCAAACCATTATAGCGGTATGAACTCAAGTTAGTAAGATTGTTAGCTTCCTGTAAATATAAAAATGTTAGAATATCACAATATGGAGTATTAGCTTTTGTATATTTTTTACAACCACATTTGAATATTTGGCAAAAGATGTCTAATAATTATGCATTTAAGTTGATTGTAAATGCAGAATCCATCCACATACATTGCAGGTTGTTATTTTCTAGGAATATCTCATTGCCCTATATTTTTTCCATCGAATAAAGTTATGCCTTTTTAAACCAAAATATCTTACTAAGAATTTGCTTATATCTTCTAATAGTTAATTTCTATTTGTGTCATTCTTTATATGGGCTAATATGTCATCCAATATTTATATTGCCTCTTTATAAGCTGAGGTGTAACTTAGGACACTAACATCTATAAATACACATGGAATTGTCATGATCATGATAGAATTATATTACAAATTCGGAATATTTCACAAATTACAACTGTTCTAATATAAATGCCATCTATTAAAATAAATACTTACAGTGCTAAAAGGTTTGGAAATGTTTCTTTTCTTTAAAAGAAAAGCATTGTTATTGCGGATAATTCCCCACACCAAATGTGACGACATTTTGACCTAAAAGTAAAAGAAAAATATTGTATTATGAAGTTTGAATAAGGAACTTTTTGTTATTACTGCTTTTACAATAAAACTAACAATTTGCATTTAATTGAGTAAAATTTGTTAGAGTACATGCTTACCTTCCTAACCTCAGTTTTAGAAAAGATGGTGTCGTGTTTTGTCGGCGGAAACGGAAACTTCTCTGTCAAAGGTGACAATGACATTTATGGTCTTTATATATACTAAGATTCAGGGACTTTAAAAATTTAGGATTTTTTCAACCGAATGGTTTTAAATTTTGTTTATACAGAGTATAAAGCTCTAGTTAATGCTTATTAATATTAATTATCTTTAAGAATAGTCATTCAATATCCACCAGGCGTTCCTTACCTATTATATTTATTTCAATCAAGGTTATTATAATTTGATTTAGATAGTTACATAGTTAACATCACAGAGTTCTATAAAATAACCCAAGATGAAGCCGGCTAGAGGGCGCTATTTTTCAGCGAAACAAAATAACGGGGCAAGAATTTGAAAATTAATCTTGCCCACTGAATACGCTCCATTAGTCTGACGTCACGAGATGGGTGGAGTCAATGCCTATTGCCTGTATCTATCTAAACAAACTTGACAGCCATTTGATTGTTCACAGCGTTTGGTGAATTTTGATGATTTTCTGAGTACCAGTGTGTTTTAAGCTAAAATATTATTTAAATAGTAAGTAATCAAACTCGTTCTATTAGGAGGAATTCAAATTGCTAGGCAAAATTTTGAAATATTACCTTTATTTTTAATATTTATTTTTTTTAGGTTATGTTTACAAGTAGTTAGTTTATATGAAATCGTAGGCTTCCACGGCCAGAGTCAGAATTATAGTTTATTCGTCTTCCGGGTTTGGACCGTGTCATTTGTGAGTGACCCAAAAGTGGGTTCATCTCGACGTTTCGCTACAATTGTATGTAGCTTCTTCAGGAGAACAAAGAAAAAGAAAAAAGAAAACAAAAGAACAGGAAGATGGGTAGTTAGCAACGGTAACTCAGTTACTCAACGCAACCAGAGGCGAATACTAACTACCAAGATGGGCATTTGGTCACAGTAACTCAACTACTCAACGCAGCCAGAGGTGAAAACCAAATGCCAGGACAGGGATTCACGTCCAACAGCTCAGAACACTAACGCGTCGAGAGGCGGGGAGTGAATCCGACGATTACTCCGCTACCGCTCTATTTATAGTCGCGGTGCCTGTCGTGTCGGGACGTATTGGCACACTTCGTGGCGCGAACGTCAAGAAGCGCGCGCTGGCCAATCATGTGGCTGCAACGTGGTGGCGGGGCCGGACGGTGGCTCTAGACTGAGATTCCAGATGGGAGACAAGTAGTATCCTTCCTCTCGATTGATATTATGGGGATTTTTTCGGATCTCTAGAGATTCGCGGATTTTCCTGGAATAAAAGAAGGGGCTCTTAGAAATAATATGGGTTTTTTCGAACAATATGGAATGACCGGTTTCTTGGCAGTGTTCGGCAACTGCAGAATGGGAGAAAAGACCTGATCGAATGCATCTTTGATGCTCTTGAATCCGAGTTTTGACGGAACGACCAGTTTCGCCAATATACACATGTCCACATGAACAAGGAATAGAATAGACACCACAGGAAGATAGTGGCGGTAATGGGTCCTTAGGAGAGGGTAGATATTGTGAGATTTTCTTGGGTGGTCGAAAAGTAGTCCTGATACCTTCTTTGCGAAGAATTTTGCCAATCCTATCAGTGACATTTCGAATATACGGAAGAAACGCCACAGGAGTATTACCCGAAGATTCTGAATTTGTTGTCCTAGGGTGTAAAGGGGGATGTAGATGTCTGTGTGTAATATTTTGAATTGTGGACTTGGAGTAACCATTGGCGACAAGGGTTTTTTGCAGATGGCCAAGTTCTTCTCTAAGGTTGTCGGGTTCAGAAATCGAAATGGCCCGATGGATGAGAGAGTTGATCACAGAATTCTTTTGGGCAGGATGGTGGTGTGATGAAGCATGTAGGTAACGATTCGTGTGAGTCTTTTTTCTATAAACAGAGTGACCCAATCGGCCATTGGGCTTGGAGGTGACTAACACATCGAGAAAGGGAAGGGACCGATTATTTTCTACTTCCATTGTGAATTTTATACTCGGATGTTGTGAGTTAAGATGATCTAGGAAGGAAGAAAGGGTATGTTGACCATGGGGCCAGATGATAAATGTATCATCAACGTAGCGGAACCAGACTTTTGGTTTTAAGGGGTAAGATTCTAGGGCTAAAGACTCAAAGGCTTCCATGAAAATGTCAGCAATGACAGGGGAAAGGGGAGAACCCATTGGTGTTCCAGATATTTGTTTGTAGAAATTGCCTCTAAAAGAAAAATATGTTGAAAGGAGGCATTTTTCGGCAAGATCTGCCAAAACCAAAGACTTGTTATCATTGGTCAAGTGATCTCGCAGAACAACTAGAGAGTCGTGTATGGGGATATTGGTAAATAGGGATGATACATCGAAACTGACGAGAATATCTTGGGATCGACTGTGAGAGAGGAGATTAAGGTGATGAAATGTGTGGAATTTCGGACATAAGAAGAGGTACGACCAGTATAGGTCTTAAACTGATTGGACAAGTACTTTGCGAGTTTGTAGGTAGGAGAGTTAATCGTAGTCACAATGGGACGAAGAGGTAGGTTATTTTTATGGATTTTCGGAAGACCATAAATTCTGGGGCAGATGGAGTTTTTTGGAACTATGGACTTCTTAACATCATCGGAAAGATCTGATTGTTTGATGGCATGGGAAATTTCTGGTCACTTTTAGACCGCATTTCCTATCATCAAGCCGATAAAATCCTTCTTCTAAGCAACGAAACTCACAAAAAGAAATTCCAATCCCTTGTATCTAAGAAAAAATCACATTCCACCACTTCTACTTCTCATTCACCTCTCATTAACACCGTCGTTAATCTTTCTTCTCACCAATTAACAAGTGCAGAAAGCAGTCTTCTATCTAAAGGTCTTAATTTTGCTATCACTCCTTCCAGAATTCCTACCGAAGAAATAGTTTCAAATGTGGAAGCGGCACTCCACACAATTCCCAAAATTCCAGCCGACCGTATCCGCTTTGACGTCGCTAAATGTCTTGATACAGCCAAAATCCCTACTTCCAATATATCTCGTGAGGAATTCATAGCTCTCAAAAATCTCCGTTCTCTTTCTGAGATAATAATCCTTCCTGCAGACAAAGGTAATGCCACAGTCATCCTGGATACTCCTTCCTACATAGAGAAAGTAAACGACTTACTTAGGGATACATCCTGTTATAATACAATTTCTCGAGACCCCACTCCTAGAGTCGAACGCGAAATTTCCCATGCCATCAAACAATCAGATCTTTCCGATGATGTTAAGAAGTCCATAGTTCCAAAAAACTCCATCTGCCCCAGAATTTATGGTCTTCCGAAAATCCATAAAAATAACCTACCTCTTCGTCCCATTGTGACTACGATTAACTCTCCTACCTACAAACTCGCAAAGTACTTGTCCAATCAGTTTAAGACCTATACTGGTCGTACCTCTTCTTATGTCCGAAATTCCACACATTTCATCACCTTAATCTCCTCTCTCACAGTCGATCCCCAAGATATTCTCGTCAGTTTCGATGTATCATCCCTATTTACCAATATCCCCATACACGACTCTCTAGTTGTTCTGCGAGATCACTTGACCAATGATAACAAGTCTTTGGTTTTGGCAGATCTTGCCGAAAAATGCCTCCTTTCAACATATTTTTCTTTTAGAGGCAATTTCTACAAACAAATATCTGGAACACCAATGGGTTCTCCCCTTTCCCCTGTCATTGCTGACATTTTCATGGAAGCCTTTGAGTCTTTAGCCCTAGAATCTTACCCCTTAAAACCAAAAGTCTGGTTCCGCTACGTTGATGATACATTTATCATCTGGCCCCATGGTCAACATACCCTTTCTTCCTTCCTAGATCATCTTAACTCACAACATCCGAGTATAAAATTCACAATGGAAGTAGAAAATAATCGGTCCCTTCCCTTTCTCGATGTGTTAGTCACCTCCAAGCCCAATGGCCGATTGGGTCACTCTGTTTATAGAAAAAAGACTCACACGAATCGTTACCTACATGCTTCATCACACCACCATCCTGCCCAAAAGAATTCTGTGATCAACTCTCTCATCCATCGGGCCATTTCGATTTCTGAACCCGACAACCTTAGAGAAGAACTTGGCCATCTGCAAAAAACCCTTGTCGCCAATGGTTACTCCAAGTCCACAATTCAAAATATTACACACAGACATCTACATCCCCCTTTACACCCTAGGACAACAAATTCAGAATCTTCGGGTAATACTCCTGTGGCGTTTCTTCCGTATATTCGAAATGTCACTGATAGGATTGGCAAAATTCTTCGCAAAGAAGGTATCAGGACTACTTTTCGACCACCCAAGAAAATCTCACAATATCTACCCTCTCCTAAGGACCCATTACCGCCACTATCTTCCTGTGGTGTCTATTCTATTCCTTGTTCATGTGGACATGTGTATATTGGCGAAACTGGTCGTTCCGTCAAAACTCGGATTCAAGAGCATCAAAGATGCATTCGATCAGGTCTTTTCTCCCATTCTGCAGTTGCCGAACACTGCCAAGAAACCGGTCATTCCATATTGTTCGAAAAAACCCATATTATTTCTAAGAGCCCCTTCTTTTATTCCAGGAAAATCCGCGAATCTCTAGAGATCCGAAAAAATCCCCATAATATCAATCGAGAGGAAGGATACTACTTGTCTCCCATCTGGAATCTCAGTCTAGAGCCACCGTCCGGCCCCGCCACCACGTTGCAGCCACATGATTGGCCAGCGCGCGCTTCTTGACGTTCGCGCCACGAAGTGTGCCAATACGTCCCGACACGACAGGCACCGCGACTATAAATAGAGCGGTAGCGGAGTAATCGTCGGATTCACTCCCCGCCTCTCGACGCGTTAGTGTTCTGAGCTGTTGGACGTGAATCCCTGTCCTGGCATTTGGTTTTCACCTCTGGCTGCGTTGAGTAGTTGAGTTACTGTGACCAAATGCCCATCTTGGTAGTTAGTATTCGCCTCTGGTTGCGTTGAGTAACTGAGTTACCGTTGCTAACTACCCATCTTCCTGTTCTTTTGTTTTCTTTTTTCTTTTTCTT